AAAAAGGAAGCACACATGAGGTGGAAGCATGGACAAGTGAACCGGGAAGAATACAGAGACACTGCCTGAGGTGTAAGGATGGGGCTAAGAAAGCCAAAGTTCACTTGGAGTTGAATCTGGCAAGAGATGAGAAGGGCAACATGAAGGGCTTCTGCAGGTCTATCAGCAGCAGAAGATGAGGGAAAATGAGGGCCCAATACTGAATGGGGCAGGCAGGAGATCCAGTGGCAAAGGACATGGAAGAAGCAGAGGTATTTAGTAGCTTTTCCACCTCAGTCTTCACTCGAAAGACTAGCCTTCTGGGATACCAGGCTCCTTAGACCCATGGGAAAGACTGGAAGATGGAAGACTTTTCTTCAGTGGAGGAGAATCAGGTTAGGGAACATTTAAACAAACTGGATATACACAAGTCTATGGGGCACAATGGTATGTGCCCATGAAGAGCTGTATGTGCTGAAGAAGCTGGCTCATGTCATTATAAGGTCACTCTTGATAATCTTTGAAAGGTCATGGTGACTGGGAGAGGGTTCTGAGGACTGGAAGAAAGCAAATGTCACTCCTGTCTTAAAGAAGGCAAAAAAAGTTGATCCAAAGATCTATAGGCTGGTCAACCCAGCCTCACCTCAATCTCTGGGACGTTGACAGAGAAAATAACTCTGGGAAACATTTCCAAACATTAAGAACAAGAATGTGATTTGAAGTAGTCAGCAAGGATTAACAAAGAGGAATCATGCCTGCCCAACCTGACAGCCTTCTACAAAAAGAAGACTGGCTTGGTGGACAAGGGGAGAGCAGTGAATATTGATCTTGATTTTAGCAAGGCTTTCAACACTGGCTTCCGTAACATTCTCACTGATTAAGTACAAGCTAGACAAATGGGCAGTGAAAGTGAAAACTGGCTGAACTTCCAGGCTCATATGGTTGTGATCAGTGCCAGAAAATCTAGCTGGAGGCCCATCAAAGTCCAGATGGAAGCCTGTTTCTAGTGATGTACCCTAAGGGCTCGTATAGGGTCCAATACTAATTAACACCCTGATTGATTATCTGAACAATGGGACGGAGTGGTCCCTTGGCAAGTTTGCAAACAATGCAAACTTGGGAGGAGTGGCTGGTATACCAGAGGATCGTGCTGCCATTTAGAGGGGTCTCTACGGCTGGAGAAATGGGCTGACAGGAACCTCATGAAGTTCAACAAAAGCAAATCCGAAGTCCCACACTTGGAGAGCTATAACCCCATGCACCAGTACAGGCTTGTGAGCCTACTGGCTGGAAAGCAGTTGCATAAAAGGCTCTAGGAGGTGGTGGTGGACACAAAGTTGACTTGAGTGAGCAATGTGTCTTTGCATCAGCAAAGACCAACAGCCTCCTGAGTGGCATTAACAAGAGTATCTGTCACCAGCAGGTCAAGGAATGCCTTCATTCCACTCTATTTAGCACTGGTGATGCCACACCTGGAGTGCTGTATCTATGCTTGGGATCCCCAGTACAAGAAAGAAATGGACATACTGGAGCAAGTCCAGCAAATTGCTACAAAGATGAATAAGGGATTATAGCATTTGTCATATGAGGAGAGGCTGAGAGAGCTGAAACTGTTTAGCTCAGAAGAGAGATGGGTTTTTCCTGCTGTCAACTCTGGACAGCAAGGGGACGTGCATGAAGCCCTGTTTTCTACAAGTCCCATCAAGCAGATGCCATACAAATGAGGTATTGCTCTTGCAGTGATTTAAATGAACAAATCCATACCTTCTTTCCTGATGATCGGATCTATGATCTAAGTCTAGATTATGAAAATGCTTCTTGGCAGGGTTTCTTTAGTTATCACATCAGCAGCTGTGAAATGATGAAATATCTGTATGGATGTTTAGACTGCGGTCCATCTGCTGCCTCTATACCATGAACTTGTTTGCCTCCTATGACTGATAAGGCTTTTATAAGATAAAAGTGAAATGGACAACTGAAGACTAGGTGAGGGAATCCAAACCAGAACTGTGAGAACTTCTGTCTACTGCTGCTTGTTCGTTATCTCAAGAGAACCAAAGTGCTTGATCATGAAGGAGGATCCAACATTCTTTTTTAATTAATATGAAAGCAATAAGCAGTCATCATACGTATCTCTTGATCCTAGGGTCTCAGGTATCTGTGGTTTCACTTTCTCTACAGCTCTTCGCCTTTCTGACTGGTAGTTTAGCCTTCAAACCACTGGTTTCCATTTCTTCCAAAATGCTGATGAAAACTTTTCCACCGAAGAAAGAATTAAAAGCTTTCCTGTAAAGGAGAAAAAAAAAATAGCTAGGAAAAAAAAAAGTGCAAAACTACATTTGAGCAGAGCTCAGTTACTTGTGAAAGGACACAAAGAACTCTGCAGATATGTGCATAGCACTGCGGACACTCAGTGTGGTGCAAAAGCCATTTGCATTATGTTGAGGGAAGGAGGATGACAGAGCCAAAATCCTAGCTGAAAGTTTGTGCTGGTTTGTGGAAAAGAAGTGCTGGTGTCATTCCTGGTAGAGAATGTAGAATGTGCTTTTAGTTCTTGACTTCTGGTCAGAAATTGGGCTCTAGAGGCTTGAGGGCAGTGCAACAGAAGACAGAGGTGCTGTCATGGCTGGTGGGAGGAAGCTGTTGCAGTTCTAGTGCTGCTGTACATTACACCCTACCACCTATGCTATATTTTACTTCCCTTCCTTACCCATCTTTCATATACCTGCAGATGAGTACTGAAGGGATGTCTGATACTGCACAAGTGTACTTTCTGTTCATTCTACTTGCACTTCCTACTCCAGGACTACAAGCTTTTGTTTTGAAAAAAAATTCCTCCTCTATTGCCAAACTCGCTTTGAAGATTCCTTGCCATTGGTGCTTGTTTGCCAGTCTTTCAGCTGTGCATCCTTGTGTCTTTGAGTAGCTCGTTTCATTCATATGTGCTGGTACCTCTAAGCAAAGAAAATGGAACTGGCTGTTGTTCCCTCCTCAGCTAGGTTGGGGACCCAGCAAAAGGAATGGCTAGCAGCTCTATGCTTCTCCACTGACACGATGACCAAGAGCCGACAGTATTCTCAGAAAGATAAAAAATAAAAGGGAAAATATCCCTACTACCCGTTGACATCAGAAATGATGGATGCAGAAGCAGCAAAGTGGGGTCTGCAAAATAGACTTGCTAATCTGGGAATCTAAGTGTCTAGGTTCTGGCATTTCTTGAAGATCCCTGCAATTCAAAACCCCTCCCCTGGAAAACTCGACCCTTAGAGATCTCCTTTGGTACAACTTTTCCATTTGTCCTTCATTTCCTCCTAGTCCTCAGAAAAGGCAAATTACCCTCAAATGAAGAAGAATCCCAGAATCATCTCTAGAGAGTGTGATGTCTGTGACCAGGAGCAGGATCTAGTCCATCTGTTGACATAGGTTCCTTCATTGTTTTGATCCCTCAAAGGTCTAGATTTCAGTCACATTGATCTGCCTCCCCTCCTCCCCATGATAGTTCCTTTCACACATGGTTTTCTCCCATAATCATAGCAAATCTGGAGTTTTCAGTACATTCAGAAGTGATCAAACTCAGTGACCATACACAGGGAATCTCATTGTACTACTACTACAACAATCTCTGCAATGAGTCTTGCTTGAGGCTGGATTTAGGAAGGCTGAAGCCTCCATCAACCTTTCATTATACAGTCAAACTTTTCTGGGTATACAACAATTTGATGGATGGAGGTGTTTTGCCATTTTATTGAAACAAATTAAAAATATAATTATGCAGGCAGAAGGATGATGAAAAAAAATGCAAATGGATAATAACAACTGCAACCTGTTGTCTGTATGTACAGTTGGGCGAAGAGAGATCTATGATTCTGTGCCTATATAGCTTATAAATTTTACACTAAGTAGTCACAGAAAAGACAAACATAGGGAGAGAAATAATTCAAGCGGTAGGGACCAGAGATTTGCAGTTTCCACTCCTAGCTGAATTCAGTAAATACAAACTGAAATCTTGTTTACTTTTTTTTTAATCTGTCCTCAGAGATTTTACATTGCCAGCCACCCTGTGGCCCGCTTCACGGTGACTCCTGTATTTTTGTGCACACTCTTACACACTCCTTAGATACTCTACAGCCTTATCATGAGGCCTCAGTGGAAGGTGACAGATCCAGGTTTGAACCGTTTCAAAATCAGAAGGAAAGTAGATACAGGTGAGTTACTGCACAGAGGGATGCTTTAGCTACTGGGATAGTATGTAGAAGTTGATGGCCGCACTGTGACTACCACCACTACCACTATGTTCTTGAAGTAAGTGTGACTGCTCACTGTGGGTGTACGGACAACCTCAGCCTTCCTAATGAATTACACCCGTGGGCAGACTTGGACTTGGGGTCATTTTATCTGTAGATCTCAAATGGTCGCAAGCAACATACAGATGGCCATATACCGAGATGATATGCAGCTTTTGAGCCTGTTCAAAAGAGCTCTGGACAGAAGATAGAGTGACTATAATATTGCAGATACCTCACTGAGTTAAATGAGTGTACATGGATTGTTTTCTTGCATGTGTACAACAGTCCATATTCCAATTTTGTGTTATCTTCTATCTTCCCTTATTTGCCCTGTAAAATTAACGAATTAAGACCTAGAACTTTATTTTGAGACAGGTGAGAAATATTAGATATAGATTACTGTTGATTAAGATAAAACATTGTGAGACTCCTTGTGTTTACAGACATCAGTCACTGGTACAATCAGGACTACTACCGAGCATGTTCATTCTGATCCATGACTCACTGGATACCATTCCACTGTCAGTTTTATATCTACTTGTTATATATATATACAATTTTATGCACGCACAGTTTATTTCCTCTATGATTGTACATTGTGCTTTTGCTTCAGAGGGGAATTCTATTCAAAGATTACAATATATTCAAAATCACAAATGGTATTTGTTTCATTGTTAGCAATGAAATATTTATCATCTCTTACTTCATCTACATTTGCCTCTTTTTCTGTATTAGGTCTCAGAAGTTGTTGAAAGGTTTCCTGCAGCCTGAAATGACAGAGAGCCTCATATAAGGACATCCCTATTTTAAACCTAAGGAATATTGCTTAATAGGTATTAATCTGAAGAAACATATTGTATGGTAAAGCTTTTGACAGACTACCAACCTTCTGAACACCCAGAGAGCATTACATTTTTGTCTGATCAGAAGCACCTAATGTCACTGCACATGCTACAATGGAAACTCTAAGACAGATACAAAGTTTTGGTATCTGTGTTACCTGTATGTATCCTATAGCATCCAGTATGGTGTTCACCACTCTTCTAGTTTCTTGCTGCTCATCTCTGAACATAAGAGCTCGTCCACTTGTTTCTAATTCACCTTTCCTTTCTATCTGGAATGCTCCTACAGAACTTTGTACTGAAAGGACTGGAGTGCAGCTGGACATGAAATTTTTTTCTCTCATTGGGAGCACATTGAAGACATCCATTGGGCAAAACATCACTCTTTTCTATCCAGACAGGCTTGGCTATTACCCTTACAAAAATGAAATTACAGGAGAGGCATTCAATGGAGGACTCCCTCAACTGTCATTGTTGGAGAATCATTTAAAAAAAGCCAAAGAGGATATCCAGTTCTATATTCCTTCAGATGAACAGTTTGGATTGGCTGTCATTGACTGGGAAAACTGGAGGCCTGTGTGGATAAGGAACTGGGGATCAAAAGACATTTATAGACAGGAATCCATTGAACTGGTTCAGCAGAGAGACCTCAGTCTATCAGAAGCCGAAGCCAGGACTATCGCTAAAATGGAATTTGAAGCTGCAGCTAAATCAATTATGTTGGAATCTTTAAAGCTGGGCATAAAAATGAAACCAAATCGTCTGTGGGGATATTACCTTTATCCAGACTGTTATAACTATGATTACAAACAAAACCCACATAATTATACAGGCACCTGCTTAGATATTGAAATAGAAAGAAATAATGAGCTTAACTGGTTGTGGGAGAAAAGCACAGCACTTTATCCATCTGTCTATCTAGAGACAGCCTTAAGATCTTCCAGAAATGCCCAGCTCTTTGTTCGCAATAGAGTTCAAGAAGCTATTAGAATTTCCTATGTCTCTAATTCTACTCATCCCCTTCCGGTTTTTGTATATACACGTCCAGTATTCACAGATGTCTATGAGGAGTATCTTTCCCAGGTGAGTGGAGCTAGACCTTAAATATTCCAGAATTAAGTGGAAAGAAATTACCAGGTGACACTTATTTAGCAAATATGCTAACTTGTATCAGAAAAATGTGTGTAGAGTTTGATTAAAAGAATAAATTAATCCATCAAAGAAATTTCATCAAATGGAACACTCAGAGGTCTATTTTCAAACTTTCCTCATGATATTTATCAAATACTGTTTTATTCTCTAAGTAGCCCTCACATGTAGCAAAATATTACAAACCTAGAAAGCATATTTAGTACATTAAGTCAGAAGAAAGAAGTTTGAGTAACTTCTTCAAAGGAGATTTAGTAAAACTAGGCTGGCCTAATGTCTGCTTTTTAGGTTATATAAAAAAAAAAAAAACAATAACAAGGAGTCTTTATTTTCCTTAAAAAAGGGTTTAAAAACTAGTGAGAAAATTCTGTTCTTAGTCGTACTTGAGTAGCTTTCTAAACGGTATTTCAGCATCTCATGGGTTAGCCAAAGTTAGGCTCAGATTAAGGTCTAATCATTTTTTTGCAATTCTGGCTACAATTTTCCCTTTGTATTTTCATATATACCCACCCTGTCAGAGATACCACCAAGCTGGGGAATCTCCTCTTGGTCATCCAGGCCAGGAGGAGAAGGGAGTTAGATGTTGTGGTCATTGTGACTGCACTGTGTCCAGTGTCCTCTCACATTCTGAATAGAGCATCACCAGGCATTGCCCACAGCTCTGTGGATACCTTCAGGGAGCAAGGGGTGCTGTCAGGGACCCTGCTGGGTCCCTAGTCAATCATTTAAATCCTGTAATCCTTACATTTTTCCTTTTCATGTGTTGTGCCCTGCAGTAAGTTGTTTTTTTCTTTTTCTTCGCCGATGGGCTTTAAGATTTTGTTTGGGTTGAGCTAATAGCTGACCCTAAAAGGAGAACTGAACAGAAACAAATTTCCCAAATCAATCTCTGTAAAAGATTAGAGCCGTTCTCTGAAGAAAAGAGATTCCTGTTGGTGAAAGCTCCTTCTCTTGCTACTTTTCTGCTTTAGCACTTTTTGGTAACTGAAATTAAGTTAAAAAAAAAAAAGCAAAAAAAAAAAAAAAAAAGCTGTGCTTTCCAGCTGTGCATTACCGAAACCAGTTACTATCAACTCTGAGCAGCCAGGAGGCAATGCAGCAAAATAAAACTTCAAATGGTTGGAGGAGTGTATGTCGTATGCCTAACCACTGGCTCAGTTTTACAGCCCTGTTTTTCTAACCACATGACATATAAATTGGATATAGTTGGCAACATTTTCTGGCATCACCTGTGCAACCCAATCCCAGAATAAAAGTGTAATTGAGAGCAGAATGTTTTCATCATGTATAATTGCTTGCTGTCTTCAAAGTAGTTATTTTGGATATGTAATTTACTACATGCATTATACCTTTTGCCCTTATGTTATAGCTTACTTACATTAGTATGATTCTTTGCACATTTCCCCTCAGGATGACCTGGTAAATACCATCGGAGAATCTGCTGCACTGGGTGCTTCTGGAATTGTGATCTGGGGTGATATGAATTTAACACAAAATAAGGTATGTCAGATTAATTATTACATGACATTTTTAAAGAGCAATAAAGTGAAAAGGATATAAAGCATTATGATTACTTACATCGTATCTTCTACTTTTAAAATAATGACTCCGTATTGCCAGCAGTCTTCTCTAGTCAAAAAACAAGCACATTTGAGGCTTATGAAGGTTGTAATTGTCTACACAGAATAAGAGTTCAATCTTTCAAAGTATCAGTGTTGGTTGAGTAACTGGACAAACTACCATGATAATTGTAGGCAACAGCACTTATTTGGTTAATTTAAGGAAAAAAATTCCTATATCTTCATATACATTCCAGTCATGAGCTACAGAAAAAATTACTTGTGCTTGCCCAGAACAATTTTTAACAGACCCTTCCGCTTCTTAAAGTGGTGCACCTAGCAATAATATTTAAAGCACTAGAAGGAGTCAGTCTGAAATTTCAGCTCTAGCCTGTTCTGTGTGTTGTAAGTAATAATTTGATTAATTTCATTGTAAGAAAGATATGAGTCAGAAGAGGAAAAAAAGTTCAATTTTTATTAGGAAGATCAAATGCAGAGTTCGAGAAACATTGTTACAAGGATGTTCAAATAAATCTTTCAAACTAGCTCATTCATACCCAGGCAAGCTAGATATAATAAACAACTGCACGGGAAGACTTTTATGAAGTCTTCTGAGAGAAAAGACTGAAACTCTTCAGCACTGCTGAGCCTCCTGTTACAAAAAGCATGACCAAATAAACCTCCACAGCTCTGTAAGGACCAAATTCCCCAAAGCATCCCACTTCTACCATTTTTATGTGCCTGCCTTTGAGAAAAAATATCAGTTGCACCTGAAACTTTTTTGTCCATTACCTCAATACCAGAACATAGAGGAGCAACAACTTTTATTGCTTGAATTTTGAGATAAGTGTAAGCAAACAGAACTTTCCACAGCCCAGACGGATTATACATTTTTGCACTAACTGCACCTTTTGTTTTTTACAGCTATCACAGTAAGCAGTCTTTCAGCAATGAAATATTACTGTAATCTTCACTTTGGCAAGAACTTCATCAACCAAAATTTCTAGGCAGGGTTTGTATATATAACTAAAAGAAACAAAAGACCTACATACACCTCAGATTCACTAAGGTGATCTCCATGGGTGTAAATATTAGCTGTATCTGTATGCGGTATTAGGCAAATGCCCTATGGAGACACAGTGTCAGAAACAATGAAAGAGTTCCCAGAGCCTCTGGTTATTAAACTATGCCAAGCATACACAGAATATATGCCAACTTCATGATCAATTAGAATGATCAGTTCTCTTAGCATACTTCCAATTTGACCATGCTCCCAAAATGCTTTCCATTCAAAAATGCTGTGAAAGCTCCCTGTTCCTGCAGCCTACCTATTCAGGTCAGGGTCAAATTGAAGAGTCTCACAGAGGTGATTTGATAGAAAAATTATTTGTTCAGGCTGAATAACTGAGGTTTTTTGTTCAAGATCCCTTCAAACCATTCAAGACATAAAAAGGAACTTTGATCCCTCATGTCACTTCTTTAAATGCATCTGATTTATACGGATAAAATGAAAGTTGAAAGTTGTCTCTCTGATATAAGTGCTTTTCATAACATCTCCAGTAACTACCCGACATAAATTTGCTGTGATCCTTGAACTATATAGCAACTTCTCAGATAAACTCGCTTCTAACAACCAGTAACTATTACCAGAACCTCAGGAGAAACATTCATAGATATCCACTGTGATACTGTTATTAGAACGACAGCATTTTAATGGTTTCTGTAATAAACTATGCAGGTATAATGTTCTTTTCACAGAACACCTGTAGAACTCTGGACAACTACCTTAGGACGACTTTGACCCCATACCTCATCAATGTCACAATGGCAGCCAGAATCTGTAGCCAAGTGTTATGCCAAGACTCTGGTGCTTGCGCACGGAAAAAGTGGAATTCCAGTGACTATCTTCACTTGAACCCTGAGAATATTGTCATTCAAATGACAAAGGATGGAAAATACACTCTACAAGGGCAACCAGCATTTCAGGATCTGCAAACATTCATAGAAAATTTTGATTGCCACTGTTATGCAGGCCACAGTTGTGAACGTAGAGCTGATATAAATGACATCCATTACCTCCATGCTTGCATTTCAGAAGATATTTGCATTCATATATCCTCAAATTCACTTTCTAATATAGAAGCCTCTGAAGAAAAGATTCTGTCTAACAGAACTGTATTTTCATTTACCTCTCAGAGTAAGGTGACATTATCTACACATTCTGAAATAGAAGATTTCCAATCTACCGTTGGAAATAATATACTCAATACAACAACTGCAGAATATAACACTGTCACATCTGCCACTAGATATGATTTAGAAGCAAATGATACTCGTACTTTCAGCAGTTCTTCATCCTATACGATATGGATGTTTAATCTGTTTTGTTTAATTCTAGTTTTGAGAATCTTAATATAAATGGCCCATGAAAGTGAGAATATTCTTTTCCCTGGCTGTGTTTGAAATTCTAAAGGTTTTATTTACAAAGAAAAATCTTTCCCGAAAGGCATATGGTCTTATCTGTATCAGGTAACCTTTTCTATTCCATAGGTGACACTTCAGCTTGAATGTATTTCTTCAGTTTAGTTCTATAAACTATTTGTGCCAAAGATATTCTGGTCTGTATATATTGATTATACCATATGAAAGGATAATCCAGAATAAGGAACATTTTTTTAAAGTTTACATTTTTAACAGTTATATTTGGAAAAAAAACAAATGAATTATTGATAATGCCATTTTGTATGCTTCAAGTTAAGCCAGTTAAATACATCTCAACCTGGATTTCATTGAGTCTCAGCACTCAACAGGTTTGATGCTCTATGCAGGAATTAATTTTATTCCATATGAAAATTAGTTCTTGAAAATATTTGGATTAACTTTAGATCTGTGGGACCTTGCAGCATAAAATTTATCTGATTAATGTAATGTTTCTCCACTTTTCACATTATCTACAGGGACACCGTGGTTTTTCTTTTAATTAAATATATTCACAACTCTTCAAAAGCTCTAACTTTAATGTAAATGTTGACTTCAAATATTACAGCTTCACTATTTAAAATTTGACCTGTAGCGGTCTCTTCTTTTTTTTTCTTCTCTTCTTCTCCCAAGCCCTCCCCTTCCCCCTTATTGCAGATGTCTTCTTCTTGGCTTTCAGTTGTTTTGCCTGACTAATTCTCGCAATTCATCTGATCTGCACTCCCTACCCGCACTGGTCACCAGTCCTACTTTCTCTGTCCAGCTAGACCTAGCAAATGGATAGGGTTGTCCCTGCCATTTGGACAAAAGCCTGTGAGCGTGGGACTTTCTTGATGCCTGACTATTTCCTGAGCAGGCTCTTTGGTGGAAAATTTGTTCTTTAGGAAAACCAAGCAGTGGATGCTGCAAGATAAGTGACCTGGGACTCCCATTCCTCATTTTCAGTGCCCATGATCCCCAGTCTCACGATGACCTTTTTGATCCAGTCTGCTGACAGAACTGAGACTATTTGCTTAATATTATTCCATTGCCAAAAGCAGTGTGAAAGTAGCAGAGATACCTCAGAAGAAAACTACTCCCAGTATCATATGAGGATTCTAGTTATGATTTACATAGTCAGCATTTAGAAGCAATTAACTATAGTGTATTTGATAAAATAACCTTTTCAAATTATGTCAGATGCTTAATAGACGGCTGGACTTCTGATGAGTGAAGAGTGGCTGCTGGCATGGATGCATTAAAGAAGTCTCCCTAGAGCTAGGCATGATCTGCATAAATAAATCACCACCTCCCACAGATACAACCTGCCTCACTAATGGATATACCTGAGATTTCAGTACAGGAGCCCTTTATTTATGAAAAGTTCGTGCCTTAATCTAGCAGAAAACACATATCCATTGACTTTGAATTTTCAGGTTGTCAGTCATAACAGACATTCAGAAAAATAGATGAAGCCTTTAGACTTAACATGGAGAAATAATGTTTTATGGCTTTTGGACTGCAAGTCATCAAGAGGAAGTGACAATTTTCTCATCGCAGTTATGTTGTTGAGTCCATAAGTCAAAGCTGTTTCTGCCATTAATGTTCCAAGCAGAATCATGAATAAAAAATATATATGTAGCAGATTGTTCAGCACAAAAGAATCCATCTGGCTTTGATCACCTCTGTAAAAATATGGGTTTTTTACTGCAGCTTTGATATTAGTTGTTTGATCTTGAGTAACCAAAAGCCATGGTATCATAATTCCTGTACCTGAGGTCCCTCCCTTTCATACTGCTGTTGACATTACCTTTGAAAGGGTTTCTAAAAACTGGAAACATCACTGGTAATGCCTTAGCATGTGTTGTATGACTTATATGAAGTTTTATTTTTTTCAGCAGAACGCTTAAACATGGCTAAAATTCTATGTTGGCACACAAAGTTCTATTTCAAAGGTGGCATTACTTTGTTATATGTTTGGCAGTTTCCTGAGGTTAGGCTTGTTTGTATCTAGTCCTCTGAAAGACACTGGATCTGTAGCACTTTGTGACAAGAGACCTCAGAGGTTCACAGTATCTACAAGTCTTGCCGTAAATATTTTTATCAGCCAAGTAATAGCAGGCAGAGCATTTGTGATGGGGAAAGTGTGAAATCACCAGAAAAGGAGGAATGAGAAGTTAAAATCACAGAAGAGTGAGACAGAGCACCCAGGACCTCCCAGTGCATGCAAAGGAAGTGAACTGCAGAAGTGAAAGAGTGAAGCAGTGGGGAATGTGGACAGACCAGTCTCTTCCCATTCAACAGGTTTTATCTACCTGGCACTTAATACTGACAACCTTTCCCGGAGGCCCACTGTAAAGATAAAGGAACACAGTAACTGATATGTTAGATTAGACCTATCCATCTGATCACAGCTCTTTTCTTGAGAGCAGCCAGGACCAGAAAAATGAAAGGCAGGCAAGTGAGAGGAAAGCAGACTATTGCAATAAACTGTTCACAGAAATGTGCCTTAGATTTCTAAGCTGCACACATGAATAGCTATCTGTCTTGTGCTCTGATGCACAATGCTTTACCAACCACCTTTCGAGTGTTCATTTGGGATATTTATGCTACCTACATGTATCTGTAATTCATGTTTTAAATCCTACAAACTTCTTGCCATAGTGAGATTCAGGCCAGCTATGTGCTGTGTAAAATTGAAGTATTTTCCAAATATATTATTTTGCTCTGTATTATATTTGTCTTGCCTATATTCTATGCTAATGAGTCACCATGGGGTCAGTGAGTCTCCATGGACTAGGGAAGGAGAAAAGAAGGAAAAGGGGTGCTATGCCTTGTGTTGCTGGTGACTATCTTATGTACAAAGCCGAACCTGTATTCTCCTAAAGCAGACCAACCCCCCCCCCCCCCGCCAAAAAAAAATTTCACTTTCCATTCATGGCATTTGCTGTAATCATTAGTCTTCTCTGTAGCCTTATAGTTTCAGTTTCTTATGTTCTTTTATTTTTCAAAAGATTAAATACTAAGGGAACATTCATTTCACTTTGATTGCCATTCATTATTTTGTACTTCTCCCTTCTAGGCAGAATTCAGGCTAGCAATACTTAGGGACTGGGAACTGCTAAAATGGGTTTGATGAAATGATCTAAATGAAAGTCATTTAACTACCTCGAGTGCCCTCCTTCAATGTCTAGAAATTTTTCTAAAATTGTAATTGAAATTTTGCTTCTCTACCTGAAGAATCTGGATCTGGTTTACTGTGTTGCTTGTTTGGGGACATCCAAAGATATTGGCACTCTTAAGAGAGATGCCTACAGGCACTTAGAGAAACTGAACAGAAGTGAAATCATGGTCTAGTCCTTGACTTATGGTTTCGTGCTTCTCCGTATTAAATATGACAACATGGAGAGAGATTTTGAGAGGCAGGCCAATAACACCACTTTGCAGACAGCCTACGATGTGACCAGCATCCCAAAGAGTCCAGAAAAATTTGCTTTAATCCCTGCATCACACGGGGACACCCTGTTGTGTATATATATATATATCAGCAAAGAATTGTGTGGAAGATTTCAGGTCTGTGCAATATGCACTAGACAACTCCCAGACACATATTAGATTTGTACATGTACCTATCCATCACTTTTCAATATAAACAACCAGACAGCAAAGACAGCTACATAATTTTAAAACATATTCAGTTATGGAGCACTGATGAACTTTTTAAGAAGACAACTAAATTCTGTCCTTCAAACATGCACACTTAAAACTTACTTGAAAGGTTTTTCACAGTGCGCTTCTGCAAGCGCCTTTGCACAGGCATATACCCGCTCTGCCAAAGCAAAACAGCCTGCAAAATTAAGGTCTGAGATTTCAAGACAGAGTCATGAGTTTTATTCCAAAGAATAACATCAATACAAAACAATGTTTATTTCATGGCTTAAAAAAAACAAAACAAAACAAAACAAAAAAACAACACAAAACTGTTTTATTTAACAACAACTCCATCTTTCTTAAATAAATTTATTTTTTGTTGTTCTTTCTTGGCAGTTTTTTTTTTTTTTTTTCCTGTCCTACTGAAAACCAACGTATAGGTGGCCGGAAACAGATTCAAAAAGCTTATTGGTCTAACTTCATCCCTTAATGCTTCTAAATGTGTCCCAAAGTGTGGCTATTCCAGACTCTTCTGTCGGTTTTTCTGCAAAGACTCCACTGAAATTTAACTCAGCATCATGGTATTTTTCTTTATGATGATAGTCATGTAAACATGTACTATTCAAGATCAATTTTCAGTTTTTGTGTATACCAGTCAAGGATCAGGGTCTTTAGAGAACAGTCCTTTTGTGTAGGCCTTCTGAACCTTTCATAGCTACTTTTCTCTTTACTGTCAGTAGGACTCAGGACTGCAAAATCTTCCTGCATTTGTTGTCCCCTTGTTACATAGGAGAAAGTAAAGGGCAAAGAGGTGTAAAGGGCACCTATCAATGTTAGCATCCTTAAGGGAATAACTTCGGATTCCATTATGTTCGCTAATGTGTTACCATCATCATGGTATATTGATTATAGTTCTCCTTGGCCAGTAGTAATTAGATTACATTTTTCAATGTATGCTTGCATAACCCTTGGTTTATAAGTGATAAGGTATTTATTGATTAGTAATCGGACACAAACAGACACTATGAAAATTAATGTAAATCACTATTTTATACATTCACCCAACATTTTGCTTCTGTGCACACAATTCCAAAGCTTTGTGTTCAGCAGTGGACATCAGACGATATGCAGTCACCCTTCTCTGCCTCTGTTTTCATCTCAGAAAACATATTTATTCAACAGAACTTCAAGATCCTGAGGAAGAAATATACCATATGTTGGCAATCTCCTTCTGCTGTGCACTGCTCCCTCAGGCTACCAGCAGGTTGAGACAAGATGATAGCTTGACAGTGTCAAGTGATGATTTCCTGAGGCAGGGCCCTAACAACCGTCCACTTAAGGGGAGGCTAAGGGCTCCCTGCAGTCCCATAACAATAATATTGTTAATGTCACAACAAAGCATTAAGTACCTTACTGCTGGACAGCTAGTAATTAAGAGCACTGGACTAATAACAGACTTAGGCTGTCTGTAAATGCTGTGCATTGTTTCAGTACCTGCTGCATATACCAAATTTAGGTATCCAAAATGCATAGTTCTTAATCTTCCCCCATTTGCCAGTGTAACAATCCTTACAGAAGTGCTTTTACACCTCTTCCCTCACTGGAGCGTGACAAAAATTTAAGATACATACTAAAGAGTCACTGATGCGCCAGCCAGCAGAGGGCATGGATGATGCACAGAGACACTGGCGGGTGCATTACAATGCTTCCACTGAAAAGTTCAATACAGTCTTTCTATTCTCTTTAGCAAAGCAGCTGCCTGTCTCTGGCCTACAAACAGAAAAGACAAGCAGTCTCTCACTAATGCAGTGCCTCATTAGCAGAAAAGATGTATGGCTTATTCTACAGGATTTTTTTCCCAAACATCTGGTATATCAGGACAAACCTGAAAATACCGGCGTGAGAAATCACCTCTTCCCATGCTCTCCTCTCTGGAGATTTCATTCAGCTGAAGGCTTCTCATTAAAATCTTCATGTCTCACTAAAATCCAGGATTAAAATACAGATAATGTGATCTGATCTCTTTGTTAGTGCTCCAAACTAGAGATGTGGGTCCCAAACATCTTGTTTCTCCCCAAATGTGGAAATATCTCGACAGACAGCGTTGGTTCAGGTCAAGTTTTGCTGACCATGTATTTGTAGCATCACCACCATCATAATCTGAAACTTACGATCCATTGTTATACATTTTCATAGCACAAAGAAGTCTCTGCTATGGAGTAAGCTGCTGTACTGTCACTTCAGAGACAGAGCACTTGGAAGACTCAATACACTAGGAGCTGCATGGCCCCAAAACACTGCTAGACTGGTCCCGAAGTGTGTAAATCTCAACAGACAAGACAGAAAAGTGAAATACTTTATCAGTGGTTATTTTTTCCCCAGAAAGATTAAGTGGCTTGTCCACAATCACACGGGATTATGAATTGTGGCTTCTTGTGCCCCAGCTCAGGCCTTTAGCTACAAGAACAAATGTCCTCTGAACTGCTAATTGTAGCAAGGTAGCAATATCTTTACATACAATATTCTATTACCAAATTGCAAAATAAAGAATTGACTTTCGTAATCATATAGTTTTGCGAAAGATATAACAGATTTTAGAACAATGTTAACAGATCTTTCAACTTGGACAAACCCTCCAAGACTTTTTAATATATTATATTTTGACCCCCTAGACACTGTAAAAGACACTGTCAGTGTACAGCTGAATTAATGTTTTAGAATATACCTGCCTATCCACTACTGGCCTTTTATAAGGGTATGATGGAAATATATTTTTCAGAGTATGTTGGTGTATCTGCAATATATTGTTTCTTTAAACTTCCAACACTATGAACCTTTAGCACTATTGCAGAACCTTTAGCACTATTACAGAATTTAAAAATTCTTGCAAAATTAGAGACCGCTCAATTTTATGTGGTTTTTCCCATGCAGTAATCAGAACCACTTTATTCCCTGAAACCACTCTCACAAATGGACTGTCTTTACTTTGCACATCACCAGCTGGGTGATGTGTGGAGATGGGAAAAATTCTTCTATTTTTCAGTTTTAAAGCAGCCAGAAACATTTCACTTAAAATTCAGTAATTGCTTTGGCTGAAACAAGTTTTTAAAAATAACAAGATACATAGCAGAAAAATAAAAGTATAGTTTTTGACCTGTGAACTATTTCCTGGTCCTTTTACCCATCCAACCAGAACAACTCAGTTCATCAGCGTCAACTTTTCCACCCATGTCTCTAGTGAGCCCTCCCTTTACGTTTAGCGTAAATGGTAACTGGCTGGTAAATTTGTGACTGCTGGCTGAGGCGAGGATGTATGTACGTATTGAATGGCCATCTGGCTGCTACTAAGAGGCAAGGAAAACAGCAGAGTTCTGCCACATTCTCCCTCAGTGAAGGATCTGATCAGGTTCCTCTTTCACCGTGCCACCAATTTTCAAGAAACTTCAAGAGCTGTACTGCTCTAAAGCTGCTGAAAACACCATCGCTGCCTCAGTTTTAAGAGTGACATCCACAATTCTGACTCTAACCCAAAAGACCGGTGCTAGGGAATAGCATTAGGACAAAGGGACTACCTGTATGAAGGGCAGCACCTTATGCTACTGGGGAAAAAAAAAAAAAAAAAAAAAAGTGTTTCTTTTTGTTTGTTTGGGACTCGCCACTTAAATCCGTATGCTTTTCTCCAGATTTTATATTGAGAAACAATGAGAAGTAATTTCTTAACATTATTGCTGGGTAGCAGGGCCAGCTCCAATGTTCAATTTCCTTCTGGAAATGTTCAGTTAAATTTACATGAGTAAATAAATGAGTATCTGTAAAAAAAAAAATCTTAGAATTACACTATGAGTCATTTTGACTATCTGCAACCAGGGCATGAAAAAGAATAAAGTTTTTCACCACAGCTAGCCCAGAACCAATCGCTCTTGACAGCGAAGTCACATGTCCTTTCAGTTTTTGTGATCTGTCTGACGTAAGCAGTGAGGTTTGTGACAAATTGCATTCTCTAAAATGCTGAATTATATCTCTAAAAAGAGCATGAAAAACAAATTCAAAAATGTTTTGATGAATTTGCTATGTTTCAATAGTAGAAGTATCCATATTAAATTTTCGAAGTGCCTTGTTTATACCTGTATGAAAGTCCCGCATCTACCAATACCACCAGTGCTGTAACCTTCTAGAGCATCACGTATAATTTCAGTGACAACCTCAGAGACTGGCAGGTGGATTCAGGTTAAGTGTTGGCTCTATTTACGGGGAAAACAAGCCTTTCTCTAATGCTGTGTAGCAAGACTGTATGCTAAGTCACTTATCCAGTGCAGGCAGAAGATTCCTGGTGAAGTGGCATGTCCTACTACTGCCCACTGTACAAAACCACCGTCACAAGCATCTCTTGCTGAGGCAAGGCAGCGTGCTGAGGGAGACTCTCCAAGAACTGTCAGAGAAGAACCCAGTCAAAACCACGGTAAGCCCGGGGTCTGAAAGCCTGGCTCTACACGATGAGCAACTCAAGAA